GCAGAGCAACTCAGGCATTGGCCGTGCTCCGCCCACTACAGGGCCAAGGGTATGAAAGAATAAACTGATTTGAAAGGCTTTTTCTTGGGAAGAGAGTACCTGCTCACACAGGGCCACCTAGGATTTGTTTCATATGCTCAGGTACTCAAGCAATCAGTGCAGCTGCTTCAGCCATGGTCCAAGGGGGTCTGGCTACTGCTTGAGCTGGTGGCAGACCTAGGTGTGGCCATTGTGATACAGAATGCAAGAGTTGTGGGGCCATGGAGGCTTCTGCTCAGATTTCAGAGGAAGGTCTGTGAGGCCAGGCAATGTGTGGCAGGGTTGCCATGAAGTTCTGCCTCACCACAGGCCCAGAATTAATGAAGTTGAGGACTATGACCTCAAACCTCTCTTACCATGGAATAAATAAATCATTCCTCCCTTATGTCATTTTGTCACAGTGATAAAAATTCTGACTAATACAACTCTTCTGCTAAAGTAACTTTGATATTTTCCTTTTTTATTGCTTTGAACTCAGATTATATTATATGGTTCAAATGGAAGTTTGATATAATTATTTCTTAGGATAATGTTTTATAACCATAAATTATTTAAATGTGAATCTTATAAACTGTTTCTATTTTGCTCAATTTGCAAGAAGCGTAATCACGACTATTTTTGTTCTTAACAATGCCACAAAAATAATTCAGAAGCACCTTAACTATGTATTTTGATCTTTCTTATAGAACAGGCTCAAGTTTTCTCTCTTTGGGCTTTATCGCTGTTGTTTAATTCTACAGCAGCTCCGATGAAAACTTCATGGCATTATAATCCTCAGGAAAATGTTTCATAAGTGTATATTCTACAGCGGTGAACCTACTGGTAACTTGTTTCCGTTTTATTTGATTCCAAGATCATGTATAATATTTTTATTGTTATTTATCAGTTCTTTTCTATTGATCCAGACACAGCAATTTTTGGTCTTTCTGCTGATTAGAACAGTTTCTCTGATCATGTCGCCACTGCGATCATCAGTCCTACAGTTGGTCAAATGGAAGTTTGAAGATTAGACTTCTTAGGATAGTGTTGATAAGTAGATCTTAAAATTGAGTTTGATGAGTAAGCTGCTAAGTTTTCTTCTGTTTCTAGGTAGTGAAGGCTGATAATGTTCAAATGTTCTCCATGACACGATCTGTGAAAGACTTTCACAAGAACATACCTCGCTACAAGAAACCTTTAAAACCCAAAGTCCCAATCTGTGTGGCAAAGGCTGAATTTACTCTGGTTATGACAGGAATATGTTTATATAAGTAAAAGTTTAAAAGGAAAACCCCTTGATGACTCCCACTGTACTTAGCATAAAATGCAGACTCCCTCACTGCAGACCACAAGGTCCTACAGGTGCTGGACCCTGCCGTTCCCGTGGACCCATCTCACAGCCACTCTCATGCCCACTGTGTTCTGGTCACTCTGTCCTCTGTGGAGCCCCAAGCACACCAAGTTCCTTCTGCCCTTTCATTGGTACTGTTCCTGGCTCTGCCTGAAATGCAATTCCTCTCCTTTACCAATCCCTTCTTTATCCTAAATATTTTAAATTTATGTTTTTGGAGCTTTCACTGATTTCCCAAAATTAGTTCCTACTGTTCCTTTTTCATCACACTATATGCTTTTTTGGGAGGGGTGTACTGGGGTTTGAAATCAGGACCCCATGCTTGCTAGGTGAGTGCCATTCCAGTCCTTTTGCTTTTAGTTTGCTTTCCAGATAGGGTCTCATGCTTTTGCCTTGGCCAAACTCAGACCATGGTCCTCTTTTCTCCATCCCCAGATAGCTAGATTACAGATATGTACCACCACACCGAGCTTGTTTTTGAGATAGGGTCTCCTTAACTTTTTTACCTGAACTGTCCTCAAACCACAATTCTCCTATCTCAGTCTTCAGAGTAGCTGGGATTACAGCTATTCATCACTATGCCCGGTCCATTCTATGTTTTTAAACTTTGTATTAAAGCCCTTATCACAATGTGCACTTTATACTCATTTTTGGTTATCTGTCAAATATGCATGTCATCAGGACTTGGAGTGTGATCTTTTATTGAATCTAAGGTTTTCAGAGCAATGAGGTAGGGGTCCTCCAGCATTGGGTGGCACATTTTTCCTTCTGTAGGTGCAATGGGTTTTCCACCATAGCACAGCACAAAACAACCTCCCAGTGTGGTTTACAAAGCAAACATTTGCTCTTCACTCACAGACTTAGATTGGGTTGTGGGTGGGTGGGGGTTTGTTCCCTCAGATCTGTTTGTCATTCAAAGGCCTGAGCAGTAGAGGAAGTGGCAATGACCTGGTTGTGTTCCTCTCAAGGCAGATGACACAACACAGGAGGAACAGAATATAGGCTGCTTCTCAAAGCCTCTGCTCAGAATGGGCCCACATGCTACTACCCAAACAGTACAAAACTGGGATGGACTCAAGGTCAATGCGATACAGAAATCAACCGCACATACCAGTATGAACCCCAAATGACCTGACATTTCCAGCCCTGCCTTAGGAAGCTTCTTTGTCACCACCCAGACACTGGCCCTACAGGTCCCATACCCAGTCCTCACAACCCTTAGAGGCAGGTTCCACTCAGAAGACTATAGGCATCTCAGGCTGGGAGACACATGCTCTGAGTGTCCTCCAACAGAGCTGGAGTCCTACCAAGAGTGACAGCCACTGCTGGCAGTAGAGGATGAACATTTCCATCAAGGGCCCTGGGTTTGCATATTTCAGGAGGGCCTGATTAACTCTGCAATATGCTGTTATAACACCCCTTGGTATTGAGTTCTAGGGTGTCATTTTCAGCTGATGTTTATTGAGAGACTTGTGTGTGTCATTAAAGGTGGTGACACAGGCAAGGGACCTCCCACCCTTTGCTCCTCCCTTCCCATAGATTAGTTCCTTCAACTTAGATTTATCCTCCTGAGCTCCGTGACCAAGCAAGGACCAGCCAGGCAGAGCCCAGGTAACATGAACATACAGCAAATGCAGGAAAAGAAGTAACTGATTCAAAACTAAGATGTCAAGAATCTTGTCATTGTAATGCTTGAGAATCTTCTGAATTACTTTACTTTCATCAGATTAATAAGAATGTGGGAAGTGGGGAGACTTTTTTGTTTGCCATATGTAAAAAGATTATCTTTACATGGTAGGTAGATCATACATACATGGAGGGTGAGTGGAGACCCCCAGGCATGGTACAGGAGCAGGGCATAGCAGCAGTACAGGTTACTGGGGCCTGGTGCTGGTGATTTACGCCTGTAATCCCAGCTACTCAAGAGGCAGAGATCAGGATTGCAGTTCCAAACAACCCCAGGGAAATAGTTTCTGAGACCCTATCTCGAAAATATCCAACACAAAACAGGGCTGATGGAGTGGCTCAGATGGTAGAGCACCTGCCTAGCAAGTTGAGGCCCTGAGTTCAAACCCCGTACCACCAAAAAACCAAAATGTAGACAGGATTGAAAAGTAATTTTAAGAGCAAATGAGAATAAAGTGAGCAAATATAGGGTATCAGTTTGATGAGCGGGAACTTTGGAGAGACACTTTGGGACCTGTCCTGCCTGCCATGGGAACCTACCACCTATGGAGCAGGGCAGGCTGTTTAACGCATGAAGTCAATACTTGTGCTAAGCACTTAACTAGGCATTAGTCAATTATTTCACATTGCTGTATCAATTACTTCCTTCATCTCCATTTCAGAGACTACAAAATTGAGGCTTAGAAAAGCCAAACCTCTTGACTCAGTGTTTGAACTGGAGGAGCTATGCTGACTCTAGAACCCGTCTATTCTATCTCCCATTCGCCATACCTACTTAGCCAATGTTTTTGTATTGGCTACAAAACAAAAAGATGTGTACGAAAGCACCTTGGGGGAATGTTAAAGTTACTATTACATCAGCTGAGGCCATGTACAATTTCCTTTAGAAAATACAGGCACTCATAATATTTCTTAAATCTTTACTAATGTACCTGTAACAAGCATTATCTTATGCAGTCTTCACATAAGCCCATGAAGATCCTGCTGTAATCTCAAATATTAAATTGTGCGTGTTTTTACAAAACGCTGTTAAGGTGCGTGTGCCAAAACAACATAAGGGACTCTAAGGCATATGTAGGACAGCTTCCTGTACTTTAGGTGAGCAGAAAACGTGGGATTTGAAGGAACTTCCCAAGTACTGAGGCCCAGGTACGGCATCATAGAATACACAAGCTTCCCACAGTAATGGCCATAACTTCCCTACAACACGGATAAAAGAACAAGGCCGCATTATCAGACCTTTCCAAGAGAGCAAACAAATGAAATCTAGTCCATGATCACGACAGCTAGAGAGAGGAAGATCTGGGCAAATGAAAGGGAATGGGCTGATTCAGAGCCTTGGTTCTCATCCCTTTCTCTTGGGCGACTGGAGTCACTTCTTACACTCCAAATCAAAGATGGCATTCTTTTTTTTTTCATCTGTTCTGCAAACGCTACCACTCCCCATAAACACAATGCTGCCGCGACACCAATCAAAGTCATTCGCCTGCTAGAGCGCTTCTGGGTATGGGCTGATGGTGTGCCAAGGACGAAGGTGCCCAGGACTCAGGCTTCTGCAGGACCGGAACGCAGCCCTGTGGCCTCAGCGCCCGGCCCGCACGCGCCCAGGGGCAGTACTGGTCCACGCACATGCACACGCACGGGAGCGCAGGCTCCCGCGTCCCCGCCGCAGTGCCGTCGCCAGGCGCGGGCGGGAGACCTGGACTCCAAGCGAGAGGCGGGAGCTCCAGGCGGGGCGGGTGCCCGTGAGCGGCGCTCGTGCATACGCTTCCCTGCTGCCGAAGCTCCGCCCTCGTCCCGCCCACCTCTTCTCCCGCGCGCGGGCTCCGCGCGCCCCAAGCCGCGCGCGTGCGCGCGCTTGCGCAGGCCGGGGCCCTCCGGGGGCGGCCCCGTAGACTCCAACGAAAGCGTCGGCAAGATCCCGGATTAACCCTTTCCCTGCTCGCCCACTTAAAAGGCCTGGTCGGGTTCCGTGCCTGCGCAAGCCGGTGGCGCGCCTTCCCCCCAGCCCGCACCGCGCATGCACGGGAGGGGGGGGGCGGTGGGGGTGTTCACGGCCGGCTAGACATTCTGTGCTCGTGCAAGAGGAGGGCTGCTACCATCAGGGACGTGCACGATTTCCCCCTACCCCGCCCCCTCCCCAAACTCAAAAAAAAAAAATTCCAAAACACTGCCACCCACCGTGCCCCCGCGTCCATCCCATCCCGGCCTGCGCGCTAGTGAACGCGGGAAGCCCAGGGCGAGTGTCTGTGGTTGTGCCAGGCTGCAGGTAAGCGCGGGCCGGGGTGCGGAAGGGGCCGGGGCGTCCGCGAGGCGGGCGCGGGGACGCGGGGGCAGCTCGCGGCTGGCGCGGCGGGGCGGCCCGGAAGAAGCGCGTTCCCGCCGAGCTCTGGGGCACCAGCCAGCTCCAGGATGTGCGGCGCCGCTGGCGGCGCGGCGCGGTGCGAGCGGGGACGGGCGTGGGCCGGGGCTGGGCGTGGGGACGGGGCGCCCCGGGGACCGCGCAGGCCGGCGAGCGGACTCGGGGAGAGGCCAGGCGGCGACGGCCCGCGCGCGCGCTCGGCGGCCGAGTTCATGGCTGCCCCTGCTCGCACCGCCGCAGTGCACCGCGGTGGGGGTGGGGACGGCCCGAGCCCAGCGCGGAGCTTAGCCCGCGGGGTGCCGCCCCTACGAGCTGCCTGCCGCCTTGGATGAGGGGGCCGCGACCCCCACGCACGCAGCCCTGGGTGCGCTGGTGGAGCTCGGGGAAGCCGGCCGCGCGCCGCCCCCGGCCCCGGCCGCGGGAGGGCGGGGGAGGGCCCGGCGCGAGCCGGCCAGGGAGTGCGCGGGGCGCGAGCTCCGGGCTCGCGGGCGGAGTGGGGCACGGCGCGGCGCGGGACTGCGGAACCGGCCGCACGCCCGCTCCCGAGCTGGTCGCGCCACCGGGGCCGCTGCGGGCCTCGGTCCCTCCCTCTGGCGCTCAGAGCCCCGGCCTCTAGCCTGCGCCCGACGTCTAATTGTGAAAGGCAAAGTGGCCCTTTCACGACCCCCGAGCTTTTGTTCAGGAAGGAATGCAGAACGCTTTATCCACTCCCCACCTCCCGGGACGGGAGATGAGGGCGAGGGCTTGGCTCGCTGTGAAGGCTTCTCGGGTCTTACGCTTCCTTCCCTGCGTCCTCCCTAACCCGAAGTTGCGCTCTTGCCACAGGGAAGTCATGCGGCCGCCATTGTCGCGGCTGCTTCGGGGTAGGGGAGGCGGCCGAGGCTGCTTATGTAAGTTGGCGTTGCGGGAAGCCCCGCTCCCTGCTCTGTAAGGGCGGCTCAGCGCAACTGCGGTTTGGAGAGCTGTTAGGAATTGGCGGCATATTCGTGGTGGTGTAGTTGGGGCTACATCTTGCTGACACCTATCTACACCCATACTGGCAAAGCCTGTCTTCCGGGTTGACTCATATGAACTTAGCAATTGGAACATCTGTATAGAGGAAAAAAAAAAAAAAGCCTATGGGTGCTTGGTTTACCCTTTCCGGTGCTGAGAGCTCTGGAAAGAGAGGGGTGGCCAAATACACACTAGCCAAAAAAGAAAGCACATTGATATGTTGCCATGGCTACCGTGTGGCCACTCCTCTCCCTGGTCCCATGCACTTTTATCCCACAAGCCTCAGGAGTTATTGACAGGCAAAGGAAGTATCTGGGCTGTCTTCCCTCCGGGCGACTACGGACCCGGATACATCTAAACAACAGGGAGGCAGGGATATGTAAAGTGGTCAAGTAATGAGCATCTTTAGGAATGATTTATCCAACCCTCACAACTGTGCAGATCCGAAACCCCCCGAGCGCCCAACGCAGCTCTGTGTTTCTTACAGAAGGAACTTTATAAGGTTTTCGGGATGTCACTGACTCTAGGATGGAATTTTGGACCATAGTTTCTGTGCAGTACATCAAACAGCTTATTTATTCATGGGGTTAGAAGTCAGTAGAGGAAACTTTCTGTTTTTCAGGATATCGGTCTGTAGGATGGAGATCTTCAGGAAAGAGTTAACTCTCACAAAAAGATAAAATTCTCTGGGTTTTTCAAGTGCAGTCTTATGGACAAGTGTACAAGTGTGTGCTTCACACAGGTGTGCAAAGAAAATGGCACTTACTCTTCCCTCCCATATTAACTGTTGGGTATGTGCACTTCTGCAGCTTTTTCTGTATTTGTAAGATACATCTATGTGTTTGTAGTAGCCTAGAGAAAAATGTGGAGAGTTACATACCTAACAAGAAATGGTGTGGGTAATGGGAGGTTACTGGCATTTTCTGAATCTGTGTAGCCCTCCACACCTGAACAAATACTGGCATGGCTCTGCTGGTGAGCAAAAATACCGTAAATTGTTCTCCAATCTCTCAGTGCACTGCCTCTCCATGGTCCACACGCATATTTCCTCCATGGAATAGAACTCTGCAGTTCTACTCTGTATCTGTTCCAAACTGGGCCTGATACTGCCAGCCACACACCTCGCTGTGCCCAACCTGAAAATGGTTACAAGAGGCAGAACAAGAAAAGACTCTGGGTTCTTTTTTTTTAAATCGATTATTGAAAACATTCTTGGTTTGGAATTTAGGCTAGAGGAGGATCTTACCTTGCTCTTTGTCCTTTCTTTGCAGGTCTGGTGTACCCTTGATCAGTTATTCTGATCTGAAGATTTTGGTGTTCGAGGCATTAAGATAATAGCCTGAGTTGTTCATGGTAACTATTCCTTTGGATATTAAGTCCTGAGAAAATGATTTCACATTTGCTTTAAAATATGTACCTTGAGGCTGGAGTGGTGGAGCTCTTGCCTGGTATCCCCAAAGCCCTGGGTTCAACCCCCAGCACTATATAAATGTGTGTGTGTATAAATTTTGATTATATATTAACACTTCTGTCAGTCTCTCAGAAGACTGCTTTCCTCAGATTTATATACTTTGTTGAACAAAAATAAAACAATTTTTTTTTAAAGAAACATGAAACAAATTTTTAGGTAATTGGTTCTTTAACATGGGTCCTTGTGCTTGAGCTACACCTCCAGCCCTTTTGGCTTTAGGTTATTTTTCAGATAGGTTCTTGCACTATTTGCCCAGGGCTGACCTGGGACCACGATTCTCCTTCTTATACCTCGTGTGGCTGGAATTACAGATACATAATAACCACCCCCTGCTTATTGATTGAGATGGGGGTCTCACTAATGTTTTCTCATTTGGGTCAACCTTGAACCACGATCCTCCCAATTCTGCCTCCCGTGTAGCTGGAATTACAGGAATGAGCTACAATACCTGGCCCTTTAAAATTCTTTTGCTTGTAAAATGCTCCTTGCACTTACCATGTATATGTTGAGCCTCCCTAATTCAAATAGCCAAAGTTCAAAATGTTCTAAAATCTGAAACTTTCTGAGGGGTGATGTGACAGGACAAGTGAACAACTCCACATCATGAAACTTTGTTAAAAAAAAAAAACTATCACTATTAAAAACCTTGTATAAAATTACCTTTAAGTTGTGTGTATAAAGGATATATGAAACATAAATGAATTTGGTGTTTAAATTTAGGTCCCATCCCCAATATATCTCATTATGTATATGCAAATACTCCAAAATCTGAAAAATATCCAAACCAGAAACACTTGTGGTCCCATGCATTTCAGATGAAGGATTCTCAACCTGTACATCCAAGGCACTCATCACTCTCTTGGGGTCAGATTAAACCTTGACCCTCATTATGGAGGGGCCAAAGCTGCTGAAGAAGCACTAGAAGACGACACTGAGTATTTTGACAATGATGTTCATCCTAGCACTGCACTGGTGGCTTGTCTCTTGTGTCAAGGAGATAAAACACTCAGGCTACTAAGTCAGTCATTTCAGTCCTCCAGATGTGGGATTGCAGTATATGCCACAGACAGGACTAGGGGATCCTATTCCAACCCTGTTGCTTGTTCCTTGAAGCTGAGGTGTCGTCATTGCCCCTAGTTGAGAGGTAGCATGGGTTTTGGAACTAAATTCCTTGGCTTGAGTCCCAGCTCTTTAATTTTAAGAATGCTGGGCAGGTTTCTAACTTTGTCGATTAAAATGGGGACAGTAATACCTACCTTATATGGTTATTGAAATTAAGTTAATTAAGACATTTAAAGCACATAGGATAATGCCTGTCATGTATTAGAAAGTTGCTACTATTATTGTTATAGCTAGGCAAATTCTAGTAAACTGAAGATAAACAGGTAACTATGGAAACCCGTCTGTTCAGATCATTCTTTTCTACCCCTATTATTATTATTATTATTATTATTATTATTATTTTTGCAGTACTGGCACTTGAATTCAGGGCCTACCCCTTTAGCCACTCCAGCCCCTCCTGCTTTTTTTTTTGTTCATTTATTCACATGTGCATACATTGCTTGGGTCATTTCTCCACCCTGCCCCCCTCCCTCACCTTCCCCCCCCCTCAGTTTCAGGCAGGTCCTGTTCTGCCCTTGTGACTGATTTTGTTGAAAAGACATAAGCAAAATAAGAAAAAGTGTTTTGCTAGTTGAGTTAAGAAACATTCCTACAGAAAGATTCCTACTATTGCTCCCATGTACCCATGTGTTACGACCCACATTGATTCAACTCTGACTGCTCTTTACATTGGTTCCTGATCCACTGCTCATGATAACCTGTTGTTATAAGGTTTCTGTATTAGTTCCTCTGGAGTGGGGACATCAAATGCTTTCATGTTTTGGGTTTTCTACCTATTCCTATATCCCCTATATGTGCTCTCCCCTTTTCTTGTGATCCAAGTCCAACCACATTGCTGCATTTGCCCTAGATCTAAAGTCTGCATATGAGGGAGAACATGTGATTTTTGGTCTTCTGAGCCTGGCTGACCTCACTCAGAATGATGTTCTCCAGTTCCATCCATTTACTTGCGAATGATAAGATTTCGTTCTTCATGACTGAGTAAAATTCCATTGTCTATAAATACCACATTTTCTTGATCCATTCATCAGTAGTGGGGCTCTTGGTTGTTTCCATAACTTGGCTATTGTGAATAGTGCTGCAATAAACATGGGTGTACAGGTGCCTCTGGAGTAACCTGTGTTGCATTCCTTTGGGTATATCCTCAGGAGTGGGATTGTCCAGCCCCTTTTTGAGATGGGTTTTTTTTTTTTTTTTGAGATAGGGTCCCGCAGACTATTTGCTAATTTTGAACTGTGATCCTCCTGATCTCTGCCTCCTGAATATCTAGAATTACAGGCATGAGCCACCAGTGCCTGGCTCTACCCTTGTTCTTGAAGTATGTAGAACATTGACCTTTTTGAAATTGTCAGGTTCTGAAAATTTATCATAAAATGAAAATCTGGCTGTGTTTTCTGTATGAAGTATTACTGATAATCACCAAACCTTTCTAAAATTTTTTGTAGGAGTTTTTCATCAGTATGTCTGAAACCATTAAATATAATGACGATGACCATAAAACTCTGTTTCTGAAAACCCTAAATGAACAACGTCTGGAGGGAGAATTCTGTGACATCGCCATTGTGGTTGAGGACGTAAAATTCAGAGCACACAGATGTGTTCTTGCCGCCTGCAGCACCTACTTTAAAAAGCTGTTTAAGAAGTTGGAGGTGGATAGTTCTTCAGTCATAGAGATAGATTTCCTTCGTTCTGACATATTTGAAGAGGTCCTGAACTACATGTACACAGCAAAGATTTCTGTGAAAAAGGAAGATGTTAACTTGATGATGTCATCAGGTCAGATCCTTGGTATCCGATTTTTGGATAAACTCTGTTCTCAAAAGCGTGACGTGTCTAGTCCCGATGAGAGTAATGGTCAGTCAAAGAGTAAGTATTGTCTCAAAATAAATCGCCCCATTGGAGACGCTGCTGACACTCAGGATGATGATGTGGAAGAGATTGGGGATCAGGATGACAGTCCTTCCGATGACACAGTAGAGGGTACTCCCCCAAGTCAGGAAGACGGCAAGTCACCAACCACCACACTCAGGGTTCAGGAAGCTATTTTGAAAGAACTAGGGAGTGAGGAGGTTCGAAAAGTGAATTGCTACGGCCAGGAAGTAGAATCCATGGAGACCCCAGAGTCCAAAGATTTAGGGTCCCAGACCCCTCAAGCCTTAACATTTAATGATGGAATGAGTGAGGTGAAAGATGAACAAACACCAGGCTGGACGACAGCCGCCAGTGACATGAAGTTTGAGTATTTGCTGTATGGTCACCATCGGGAGCAGATTGCTTGCCAAGCCTGTGGCAAGACATTTTCTGATGAAGGCAGATTGAGGAAGCATGAAAAACTCCACACAGCCGACAGGCCATTTGTTTGTGAAATGTGTACAAAAGGTTTCACCACACAGGCTCACCTGAAGGAACACCTAAAAATCCACACGGGGTATAAACCCTACAGTTGTGAAGTATGTGGGAAATCATTTATCCGCGCCCCAGACTTAAAGAAGCATGAGAGAGTTCACAGTAATGAGAGACCATTTGCGTGCCATATGTGTGACAAAGCCTTCAAACACAAGTCCCACCTCAAGGACCATGAGCGGAGACACAGAGGGGAAAAGCCTTTTGTGTGTGGCTCCTGCACCAAGGCCTTTGCCAAGGCGTCGGATCTGAAGAGGCACGAGAACAATATGCACAGTGAAAGGAAGCAGGTCACCCCCAGTGCCCTCCAGAGTGAGACCGAACAGTTGCAGGCTGCAGCAATGGCCGCTGAAGCAGAGCAGCAGTTGGAAACAATAGCCTGTAGCTAGAGGTGATGTGACAGGAACGCTTGGTCTGGGAGGAGGACACTGGGATTGCATTGGTTATAATCAGTGGACACCAGTGACTTGTGTTTTTGTGGAAACGCATGGAGCGTTTTACTCACTGGACTTAAGGCAGTGCTTGGTTAGGTATTTTAAAACTTTTCAAGGAAATTGTGTACCTAAGTTGTGACCAAACAGTCTTGTGATGTCTAGTATTCATGTTGCCAGTAAGTTTCTCTCCCCTTTTTTTATGATTTTAGTTAGAGAACTGCAGTGTCCAGTTTAAAGTGAGAGACTTTTACTACATTTTTAATTCCTCTACACTTGCCACACCGGTGAGTGCACTGCACAGAATAATAATTGAGTAAATTGATTTCCATATCATCACGACTTATGGTGACCATAAGTCCATACGTGTGACTTATGGTCAAACAGCAGTTTTAATAATTTAATAAAAGTACTTCATGGAAGTGCAGAAAATGCTGACGGGTGGTTGACCAAGAAGACTGCACAAGTCTCAAACCAAATTCTGGAAATGCGGAATGGTATTAGATTTATATTTGGTTTGTTAATTTTTTATATCACTGTTTTTCACTGTTTCTGTGGACAAATAATAATTGCTTTTCTGAAGTGTTTCTTAATTTTAGTTGCCCCATACCTACCCCAAAAAGTGTAGTCACACATGCTGAAGGCTGAGTGAATCTACCAGGGTGCTGAGATCTTGGGACTAAGTTTTTAGATTCTTTTGGGGAGCATTGCCATGCTATACTAGTGGGAATTTGTGGAGTGGATCAGTGGTGAGAGGAGTAGAAAAGGCTTTCAGACAAAGTTTTCTTGTGACAATTCTAAGATGTCCTAGATCAGAATCATTCAATGATTTTGGAATTGGGTTTGTATGTAGGATGAAAGTTAAGACAAGAAGCAGATACATTTCTGCAGAATGCCATCAAGCTTTGGGCTCTCTGCAGCCTGTGATTTACCCATAAAGGAGATGCACTATGCTTACTTAAATAAATTTAAATTTTTTAACTGTAAATAGTAGTGTTGGTTTTACGTAAAAGCAGACAGCTGCACTTTTTTTTTTTTTTGCACATTGGATTAAAATACTTTCCATCAGCAACAAACATCAGACTGTTTCAACCAGTATTTAAAATTGCCAGACCAAACGTTATGTTTTTGAAGATTTCATCGCTGGTTACAGTTTTAAATAGAAGTTGATTGCCTTTTCATAGCCGTAAATCAGAACCTCTGTTTCAGATTTGATGTAATAAGTGTTCTTTTAACCATTTCCTTAGGAATATATTGAAATGCCAACAATTGTTTGAATTTTCTGTAAGAAAGTATTAGTCAATTATTTTAGAAAATGTACAATTGTAGAAAATGCCAACTTTTGAATTTCATGTTTGGTTGCTAGGATTTTTCTTTTTTTTTTTTTGAAAATACATTAACTTCATTTCGTAGCTTGCTGCATTAACACCTGTAATTACTATTGTGGAAAATTTTATTTTTTAAAATTGGTGTATATGTTATGCCAGGATTGTAGGATGAATATGCTACCTTTTAAAATTTTTTATTTATTGGTAAAAATGTTTAATTAGTTAAAAATTAATTTTTCTTGAAAGTTGTTTATTCTGTACTAAAATAGTCCTGTCACTGTGTTTATATGCTGTTAGTAGAAAGGGAACTGACTGCTGTTCCTGGGCTGTTTTAACCAAAGCAAAGGTAAAATAATTTAACATCTTGTGGATAACTACTTCAACAAACCATATTTTGGGCCTTCATTTTTTGTATATAAAAGAAAATATACTTCTATCATTCCTGTTTTCATTTGTTCAATAGCAATCTTCCACATGTCCAGGTTTCTGCTAAAATGTACTTTCTGCACTTTCTCACTTGTGGTTTATAGAGTGCAAGTTCAATGTGGAATTAACCCCTTTTGAAACCACATAATGTTAGTAACCACAAAAAAGCTTAATTTTCAGCACTCTATTTATGCAAAGATTTATCATTTGGTCTAGTAAACTGAATGTCATGTGTTAGCTTTATGTTACTATAAAAATCTGAGATAGTCAACTGATAAGAAGAAAGTTTTATTTGGGCTCTCAGTTTTGAAGGTTTCAGTTCATAATCACTGGCTCCATTTTGTGCCTGAGGCTCACATCCTGGCAAGGGCAAGTATGAAGCAACACTACTCACTTCATGGCCAGGAAACAAGGAAGAGGAGGGGGCTGGAGTTCCACTATCTGCTTTGAGGGCACACCCTTAGTAACTTGAAGACCTCCCACTAGGCCCCTTCCTCAAAGGTTCTACTGCCTCCTGATAGAACCATAGGCTGTAGCCCAAGCCTCTTAACACAGGAGTCTTTGGGGGACGCAAGAGCCAAACTACAGCTGGTAATTTGCCTGTTACTAGCTTACTGATTTTGAATGGTTGGAAATTAACAGTTGGCTACCATCAAGTGAGTTTGATGCTAAACATTTCCTCCTATTTTGTTGGGAAGATGAGATTAAGATGAGAGAATGTGGGTTTTGTTGTTATAAGGTTATCTGCAACTGTCATTTGGAATCTAGAATTCATTTTCTTGTATTAGTGCTGTCAGTGTGCTTAGTATTCAGAAGAACCAGGAACACCTACTGGGTATGTTTAATAGAACTAGGTTAAGGGTTATAGTATAGCATTCTGGGTTAGGGGGCCATGACCTCCTTAGAAAGAGAATGGAGAACTGTCACTTTCCTCTCTGAAGTCTGGATTTTTGAATACGCCTTGGTAACTTTCTCCCCTTTGGGCCTATTCAAAAGAAAATGTTAATCTGCAGGATTAACATCTACAGGATGTTAGAATTGCAGAACCTACTTGACTTTTCAGATGCGAATGATAGTGTGTCACCAATTCAGCACGTAAGGAGCATCTGTGTGGTGCATTGGGTTGGATTCATGATACAGAGGCAGAAAAGATTTGGCTATTGGCTGGCAGAGTTCATGTGCCCCATCTCAGTTTTGTCTTCTGCATTCTTAAAAAATGAAAGTGTTCTCACCTCCTGTTATGCATGGTTCCTTCAAGGTCACCGTACTTATCTCAGCCTTGGGTATAATTTATCCGAGTGGTGATAGACTTCAGCAGTAATTGTTTTCATATTTTCAAGACATATTCCTACTTACCAACATTCATTTGACTTTTTCATTATAATTGGGACACAGTGTGGTTTAGTGGAAACATGAGTCAAAGTTGGATTTGGATACTGGTTATACTTAGCAGTTAATCTATAAATGCAGAAAGTGTCCTGAGTCTTAGTTTTGTCGTCTCTAAAGTAGTGTCAGATTTCTATCTCATTGACTGCCTGAGGATTGTGATACACAACATTCAGCCCCACACTTATCACCTAAGTGCACCACAAATGCTCCCTGCTTCTTAGTGTATTCTCAATGGAGAAGACAAAAGCAAACTGGAAGTTCTTTTTGTCTTTGGCACTTGTCAGTTCTATAATCACTGGTCCTGAATTGTAGACTTAGTCCTCCTTTAAAGTTGTCTTCACTGAAATCAGCTATAGAAGCTGTATTTATCTTAGCATTTCTTTAAGCTTCAATTCACTTGCAGCTTTGTTCTTACAAATATGTGTGTATATCAGAATTTTCTTTGGTTTTATAATCTCCTATCATCTGTCCATTTTTAAGTAGGTCATTGGAATGTACTCAAGTGTAAACCCAGGCCTCTGGTTGGCTTCCTGCTTTTCTTTGAGAACAGGATGATAACCAGAATGGAATTTTGAGAGACAGATTTTGAGTCTCATACATGCAGTCATGCATTTAGAAAATAGTTGTAAGCTTTTCTAAATTGTGTGTGTTTCAGGCTTTATCTGTCTTTTCCCTTTCTGGTTAATATAACTGCCAGGATCATTTGTTGCTTCCTCTCCAAAGGGGGCTTAGGCTACCCCCCAAGAATTCTGGTTTTTCTTGAAGAATAGCTATTTGCTCACCTCTTCAGAGGATATTTCCATTGCTTTACACAAAAGTACTTTCTGTAGAATAAGTTAAATTATATCAGTTAATGCTTGTAAGTGCCAAGCATTGAACTAGGTTCTCGGGATGGAGCAGTGAACAAGACCAACACCATTCTTACTTGTCCAAGATAATGCCTTCGCTTTCCATATTTTACAAAGACTTACAAATAATTCAGTCACAAATACGCAAAATGCTTTTAAAAGAAAAATTGATACGTATTTTAATCCAGTTCATGGATCATAATTTAGAATGTAAGGATTTTTAATACATTGTCATGAGATTCAGTGGTACCAAAATAAATGGTTCTCAAGTGAGTTTTCTGAATGTGTTCTGACAAAATATATTGATTGAATATTACTATTTCTGTAGAAAGATTCTTATCTCTCATCATATTACATCTTAGAGGAATGGTCATAGGAGACTAAGGTTTATTTCTTTAAAATAATACATCTTGGGCATCAAGAAACATACTGTTGCAAATAAAGGAGTAAAGAATGACAACCTGCAATAACGAAATTTGACGGGAGGATGCCCCGAGAGCAAGTAGAGTATGCTCGGCAGTGGCTCAGAAATGAAAAGAGCAGAGAGTGTCCTCTTAGCTCCCCATACCTAGTGAAGGGTAGAAATCTGTTTTAGTACAGCAAGCAAGCTATTGGCAATGAAAAGATATTTGTGTTGGTTTTCCATCACCCAAGTCTGCTGTCATCTTAATGGGGTTTTACAAAAGTACCTTATGCTATTTAAGTTGCTTGGAATGTCATCAAAGTCAGAAGATTCCCATGGGTGATTCTTACAGGTGATTACTGCCTTTTGTTTGCTTGCTTTTACTATGACTTTGAACCTCAGTCAAGAGAATCAGCATTTTAATAATAAAACCTATGACATGTAGAATATTACTAGATGTTAGGCACTTATACACAGTGTCTATGCTTTATGATAACTTTGGTGTACTCATTACTGGTGAAGACACCAAGACCCAAAAATGTTGAGTCCTTAGCAGAGCCAGGACAGAAGAACAGATCCACCTAACTCCAGAACCTATGCCCTTGTCACTCTATATTCTGCCACACACCAGAAAAAGGTCAACTATGGTCCTACAAGTGTCCTTACTGAGCTCAGTCTGAGGTAGATGGCCCTTGAGAAGGGAGAGGCATTTGTGCAAACGGCTGCTCCTAGGTTTCTATTCTGAATTGGTCTCAGTGTTTTTTGATTTCTCCAAGAGTGTCTCATGCAAGGGCAGATGCTAAACCAATCTTGCTTCAGTTCTGAAACCTGTGCCAGAATTGGAAACCTGCAGACAGAATGTCATGACTGACTGCAATGTAAACAAAGCTAGCCATTGTCTTTCTTCATGTGTTCCATTATGCAGTGAGCCTAGGAAACCCCACAAAACCAGAAACCAGGTAGTTTGGGGCCAAAAGTAATTGTGAAAATGGCCATTGATGTCAAGAGATCTTCCACTCACTCTTCCTCTCTTTGCCCCCTTTTCCTGGCAGGTGTTAGAAAAACTTGGTTCAGATTCCACCTCCACTACTTGCAAAGTCTTGTCACCTCCTTGGGCTGGTTGCAAAACATTTGTGAATTTCTTCTGCCAAAATGCAAATGATGACTCCCTGCTTGGTTCACACCACTCTTGCTCATTAGCGTGTTCAAAAGCTAAATTTTCTTCCATAAATAATAGGTTCTTACCTTTAGTTTTACAATCAATTATCACCAGTTTAAAGTTATAGGTTCTTACCTTTAGCTTTGAAATCAAGTATCAATTTAACGTATTACTGATCTCAAGTAGAATGACAAAGGTAGAAGCTTAACATTTGGGAAGCTTAATGATTCATTCATAGAGTGTTTGCATTTAATTGAAAGAAGGATGTGTGTGTGTGTGTGTGTGTGTGTGTGTGTGTGTGTGTGTGTGTAATTCCCCTAAGTCAGGGAATGCTTTGCTGTTTCTGTAAATCTCTCAGCCAATGTGAAACAGAAAATATTAACCATATTGGAAGGTTACTGGATCAGTAGGCTTTACTGTAAACAAGATTACATTTTATAGTCTAAACACCCAAAAGAAAAGAAGAATGAAAAGAAGAAGGACACATTTATTTTAAATGATACATAGTCATTTTCCCAAACTTCTGTTAGTTATGAGATAATAGGTTTTTTTAAGTAACAGTAAAAAAACTCAAACCAATTTAAACTTTGGTGATAGGGTAGAACTAGAATGTATGCTAATATAATACCTGACACCAGAATGCTTTTCAGTTTAATGTACAATATGAGGTCAGTAACACTATTCTCATTTTACAGGAAG